TCAGATGTCACCCTGTCTCTGGAAAGGCTACTCAGCGACATGGCCTGCCCTCCACGGTCTACCTCTTCATCCAGTTATGTCCCCACTCCCTTGTTGATATGCTTTTGTGCCCTGGCTGTCACGATGGGATGCCCCACCTCTTCCCTGGACCCGGATGGGCTCATGAGCCCGCCAGCCAGTACATTTGGATTCAAGACACTGGCAATGAGGAGAGGGCTTGTGACCTGATTTGGGTCAGTCAGAATCCTGACTTGGGGTGATAATGAAGCTGGGAAGCTTCATGGATACGGGTCACACAGATCCTCTTGTTAAGAAAGGTCTGCATGGCTGAACGTGCTGTTCTGTCTTTTTTATTTTTAGAGTATTTTATTTTGAAGCAGGGTCTCATGTATCTCAGGTTAGCCTTTAACTTACTTTGAAGCTGGGGATGACCTTGAACTTCCGATCTTCCTGCTTCTACCTCGCGGGTATTGGAATTGCAGGAGTGAGTCACAGCCACTCCTGGTTTATGTAGTGCTGGGAATTAAACTCAGGGCTTTGCGTGTGTGAGACAAACTCCCTATCCACTGAGGTACATCCCGGCTTATTTGACCTTAAGTTTTGTAGAGCTGGAAACTGAACCCAGGGCCTTGCATGTGCTAGACAAGTGCTCTGCCACTGGTCCACACCCCAGCCCTCTTGAAATTTTGTTTTGTCTTTGTTTGTTTGAGATAGGGTTTCTCTGTATAGCCCTGGCTGTCCTGGAACTTGCTCTGTAGACCAGGCTGCCCTCAAACTCAGAGATCTGCCTGCCTCTGTCTCCTGAATGCTGTAATTAAAGGTGTGCGCCACCATCGCCCAGCACTTGAAATTTTTTTTTTTTTTTAAAAGGTTTATTTATTTATTATGTATACAGCATGTATGACTGCATGCCAGAAGAGGGCACTAGATCTCATTACAGATGGTTGTGAGCCACCATGTGGTTGCTGGGAATTGAACTCAGGAGCTCTGGAAGAGCAGTCAGTGCTCTTAACCTCTGAGCCATCTCTCCAGCCCCCCACTTGAAATTTTTAAAAAAGGTGATTTATTTGTACCGTGCATGTGCATGTGCGTGTGCGCGTGCGTGCGTGCGTGCGTGCGTGTGTGTGTGTGTGTGTGTGTGTGTGCGCGCGTGTGTGTGCGTGCATGCATGCGTGCGTGTGTGTGTGTGTGTGTGTGTGTGTGTGTGTTTATGGGCACCATGTGGAGGTCAGTTCTCTCCACTTTTATGTGGGTCCTAGGGATTGAGCTCCGGTCATCAGGTTTGTGCTGTAGGGTGGCAAGTGTCTTCACCCACAGAGCCACCTTGCTGGGTTCAGAGGATGTTTTTACTCTGGATCTTCCTGCCTGACGCTCCCCAGTACTGGGATTACAGACAGTGGTCAGCAGCATTCACAGTTTTTGTGGCGCATTGAGGAGGGAACCCAGGACCTTGTGTGTGCTAGACAAGCCCCGAAGCTGACATTGGGAACCACAGTCCCAGTCCACCTGCTGTGGGTTTTTTTTTTTCCAACGAGCTCTGTATCTTCAGCTAGTGCTGGGTCCTTCAACATAACTGTCGGGGAAAGACTCCTCTCATCTTTAGGATAGGGAGCTGTGATGTGGGTGCAGGGACCTGTGGCCCCTCCTTCTTTAAGTTGCCCCATGTGTGGTCCCTCAGTCCCCTGAGGCCAGGGCAGGGGCAGAACTGCCTCCTCTGTGACCCATCTCCCTCAGTCTCTCCAGGGTCTGCTTCTGTCCAGCTGGACCCCAGTTCAGGGCTGTGGCTGGGTGGGACAGGGCAGCTAGGGGAAGCCAGCCTCATCAGACTCAAAGATGCTGTTGCCTCGGATGCTGGGGGCATCTTCATGGACCGCCAGGCTGCTACCCAGGGCATTTCTGTTTGCCTCTCCTTGGGACCAGTCACCACAAAGCAGGGCCTGATGGGGAGCCCCAGAAACAGCAGGTATAGAGCTAAGGTGGGTTGCTCTCTTCCCTCCCTGAACCCATCCCCAGACAGGTGGGGCAGAGATGAGGCTTTCCATCTTGGCTTGCTTCTGGGGACAGTGAGATGAGGGATGAGAGAGAGCCCTTGGTAGTTGCCAGTCTGTAGAACTTTAGGGAGTGGGAAACAGGGCAGCCAGGCCTGCGAGAAAAGCCACTCCAGATGGGGTCTTTGAGTGCATCACTGGGGTGGCACGTGCCTCCCTCACCGTTAGACAGACTCAGATCTGTAGAAAAAGAAACTCCTACCCTTACAGCCATTGACAGGTAATAGCTCCTCATCCGGGGGTGGGGCCTCTAAATCACGCTCCCACTGAGGCTGGAATGTTGACAGGCAGGCTTCATCTTGTGCAGGTGTTATGCACAATATTCTCGTTTACTTGTTTATTCAGTGTTTTCCCCCCTTGGCCCAGACTGTGGGATTCAGGGGGCTGGGCCCTCATCTGTCTTGTTCCCCATGTTTTCAGTGACTGACCCTACAGGGTGGGAGCTTCAAGACTGACCCGGCTCTGCTCTCATGGAGTTTGTATTGTAGCAAGGGCTGAAAAAGTCAATCAGTTTGTTCTCTTTGTTGCTGTTGCCTTGGGACAGGGTCTCACTATGAAGTTCAAGTAAGCCTCAAACCCATAATCCTCCTGCCCCAGCCTCCCAAGTGCTAAGATTATAGACATGGACCACCAGGCCTCACTGCCAGGCTAACTCTATGATGCACATTCAGAATTTGTTGTTTTCAACAGTGACAGACAACTCCTAATGTGAAGTTCATCTATTATTATTAATTTTAGATAGGGTCTCATGTAGCCAAGGCTGGCCTCAGACTTGCTCTACAGCCAAGGATGACCTTGAACTTCTAATCTTCCTGCTCCCATCTCTGGAGTGCTAGGCTTACAATCACACAGCACCACTCTTGGGGTGTATGTTGTGCTGGGGATCAAAGCCAGGATGTCATGCCTTTCAGGCAAGCATTCCATCACCCGACCACGTACTCAGACCATCGTTCTGTTTCTCATGGTGGCGGCACCATTTAATTCCTCACCGATAGCATGGAACGGTTCCAGTTTTTCCCTATCTCTAACACTTATTTTCATGTTGAAAAACTTCCAGTACTTGGGAGACAGAGGCAGGAGGAGCTCCGTGAGTTCAAGACCAGCCTGTCTATGTAGTGAGTTCCAGGGCAGCCAGGGCTACATAATGAGAGCCTGTCTCAAACAAAAATTATGTGTTTTTGTAGCAGGCAGGTGGTTGCATACCCTTAATCCCAGTACTCAGGAGGTACAGGCAGGTGGATCTCTGAGTTTGAGGCCAGCCCAGTCTACAGAGCAAGTTCCAGGACAGCCAGGGCTACACAGAGAAATCCTTTCTTGACCCCGCCTCAAAAGTGTTGCTGTATTAATTTCTCTTCATATGTCATCTAATTTTTAAATAAATTGGACCCACTAAGTCCAATTAGGGCTGCCCATTTGTACACGGGTGCGAGGCCATCTACTGGTATGTGGGCAGTCTCTCAGGATTCACACCTCCAAAGAAGAATGATTCTCCCTCTCCCAGCAGCTATCCATTGCCCTTAGTTCCTCAGTTAGAAGTGGGGCTTTGAGACCATCCCCTCCCCACCTGCACCATGCTGGAATTTTGATTGATTGGACCTTGTACAGGGCTTGTACAGGCAACTAAAGCTGCTGTGAGTTCATGAATGGAACAGTCTTGTTTGGTCCAGAAGACAGCATTTCCCAGCACTACCTCCCCATCCCCTGGCCCTTGAATCCTTTTTGCCTCCTCTTCTTTGATGTCCCTTTAGTGGAGTGATTGGTTAGTGGAGTGATTGGTAAAGATGTCCCTCTTTGCCCAGTGTGGTTGAAAGTCCTGGTGGTGGCGCAGAAAGGTCACGGTCACAACAGAACCCAGTGTTAGTTTTGTGTTAGTTTTCAGAGCTTTATTAGGGGGGGAAGAGGGGGGAGGGGAAAGAGGAGCCAGGCCTGGAGAGAGAGAAAGATGGTGGTGGTGGGGGGAGCAGAGAGAGGGAGGATGGGGTCGGCATCCAGCTTTTTTTTTTTTTTTTTTTTTTAAAGACTTATTTATTTATTACGTATACAGTGCTCTGTTTGCATGAATCCCTGCAGGCCAGAAGAGGGCAGCAGATCTCATTACAGGTGGTTGTGAGCCACCATGTGGTTGCTGGGAATTGAACTCAGGACCTCTGGAAGAGCAGTCAGTGCTCTTAACCTCTGAGCCATCTCTCCAGCCCTGCATCCAGCTTTTTAAGGTGCGGGTATGTAGTTGCCAACGTACACTGGTGACGCATGATGCAAGACCCCTAACTGCGCATGTGCAGAAGTGAGGGTGGATTCTAACAGTGGTGGCGCACACCTTTAATCCTAGCACTTGGGAGGCAGAGGCAGGCAGGTCTCAGTGAGTTCGAGACCAGCCTGCTCTGTCCCATTTGTGGCTGAGCACTCACAGTTGACCAGCTGTGTGTCTGCGTCATCTGCTGCCATGGCAGAAGGAAGCTTTAAGGCGAGGTTGACAGTAGCCCAATCTACGACTCTGAGCATAAATACTTTGAAAGCAGTTTGACAGGGCTGGAGAGATGCCTGAGGTTTAACAGAGGTCAAGAGCACCGGCTGCTCTTCCAGAGGAACCTAGTTCAATTCCCAGCATGCACATGGCAGCTCCCAACCATGTGTAATGTAGTTCCAGGAGATCAGATACCCTTTTCTGGCCTCCTTGGGAACTAGGATACATGTGGTGCACAGACATACACACAGACAAATCGCCTATACATATAAAATAAATAAATTTTTAGAAAACAGAAGGTTTTGACAACATGAACATATCTATCTATTTTTGTTTTTTGAGACAAGGTTTCTCTGTGTAGCCCTGGCTGTCCTGGAATTCCCTCTGTAGACCAGGCTGGCCTCGCCTCCCAGCAGCCTGCACCTCACCTCTGGCACTATGAAAGCTGATCAGCAAGGGGACAGCTTCTTAGCTCTGTTTTAGTTTAAATTATATATATATATATATATATATATATATATATATATATATGTGTGTGTGTGTGTGTGTGTGTGTGTGTGTGTGTGTGTGTGTGTGTGATGTCGGAGATTAAGCTCAGAGTTTTGCACTTGCTAAGCAAATTCTCTACCATAGCGGTACATCCTGAATCCTGACCCAGTTATTAATTTTTTTTGTTTTTTTGTTTTTTGAGACAGGGTTTCTCTTTGTAGCCCTGGCTGTCCTGGAACTCCCTCTGTAGACCAGGCTGGCCTCGAACTCAGAGACCGACCTCTCTCTGTCTCCTGAGTGCTAGGATTATAGGCATGGCACCACTACCACCTGGCTTGTCCCTTTTTTTTTTTTGACAGGGTCTCATGTAGCCCAGGTTGGCCTCATGTAGCCCAGGTTGGCCCCATGTAGCCCAGGTTGGCCCCTGGACCTCTTATGTAAATGAGGCGGATGTTGAAGCTTCAGGATTACAGACACGCCCTACCCACTCCCTAGCTCATCCTCTCTAAGTGAGTTACAGGGATCTGAATTCAGAACCCCACGCTTGCAGGGCAAGCGCTTTATCCGGTGAGCCACCTCTCCGGTCCTTAGACTAGGAAGGCATCTGTGGGAGATGGCGTTTCTTCATCTCTCTTCTGGCCTCGTTTTGCTCTCTCATGGCCGTACCTCCTCCTGCCAGCCTTCCCACAGACAGTCCTGGGAGGGAAGCTGGGACTTGAGACTGTTTGCAGAGGCTTCCTTAATACCACGGTGAGCTCAGGTGTATCCATCACCATGGCAACCACACTGGGCGATAACATCTGGGTTTCTTCCTGGCCGTCTAGCTGTATCTAGGCTGCCTGGTTGGGCCCTGCCACCTCCGCTGAATCTCTTTGAGCATCAGGCCCGAGTCCCAGGGACTGTGAGCCAGGTTCCCTTAAAACCTGAGCCACCGCCCTTCCCCGAGAGTGTGACTGACAATTTGGGCTACCCTTGGAAGAAAAGTTTCAGCGGAGACAGTGAGCAGAGGGTCAGACCTGGAGAAGAGAGGTGCTGTCTAGGACAAGCCAGTGAGGCAGCAGTGAGGCCCTGTTCATTTTTTTTTTGTTGTTGTTTTTCGAGACAGGGTTTCTCTGTGTAGCTTTGCGCCTTTCCTGGATCTCGCGCTGTAGCCCAGGCTGGCCTGGAACTCACAGAGATCCGCCTGGCTCTGCCTCCCGAGTGCTGGGATTAAAGGTGTGTGTCACCACCGCCCGGCTGGCCCTGTTCATTTTTATCTAGAGAGGGCTAGATGATTCCAGAAAAGGGAGAGAGAGGGACCGAGGGCCTAGACTGTTCCAGGTAGCACTACCTGACCACACCTCCTGCCACCAAGATTTCAAATGGCATCAGAGTACCCTTGCCACTTTCTGTCTGATCGGGGGCTCACAGTTCACCTTGAGCTGCTTCTTCCCCCCACAGGGTTTCTCTGTGTAGTCTTGGCTGTCCTAGAACTCGCTCTGTAGACCAGGCTGGGCTCCAATTCAGATTCACCTGTCTCTGTCTCCTAAGTGCTGGGATTGAAAGTGTGAGTCACCACAGCCTGGCTAAGCGCTATGTTTTTAGTGTGTGTGTGTGTGTGTGTGTGTGTGTGTGTGTGTGTGTGTGTGTGTGTGTAGGGGGGCACTCCTGCCATACACACCTGTGGAGGTCAGAGGACAACTTCGTGGAATTGGTTCTCTCTTACCATGACATGGGTCCGTGGCTTGGGCTCAGGTCAACAGGCTCTGTGGCCAGCGTCTACCCCTCAGCCACCTTGTTGCCCACCCAAACCCTATCTCTTTAAAAAGTTTTTGCTTTTGTGTTGGTTTGTTTTTTTGTTTATATTTTGCTTTTGTTTTTGTTTTTTTTTTTTCACGCTGGGCCTCTTTCCGGGACCTCAGACACTCTTGGTCCATTCTTCTGAACGGTCTAGAAGTCTCTCTTTAAGTCTTCCAGTGGTCTGCTGCCCGTGTTGTTTGCATACCTCCTGTGATGGGGAGCTCACTTTCTTGAAAAACAGCTTGTCTTGTTACAGGGCCTCTTTGAGGGAGACGGTAGTGGTCTCAGTTGTCAACTTGATGGGCTCTAGGATAGAAGACCAGCCTCCGGCCTGTGAGGGGTTAGCTAGACTGTCCTGGGGTTATCTATCTAGTTAACGAAGGGACACCAGCCCAGTGGAGCCTGTGACTCTGGCAGGCCTTGCCCTTCCCCCTCATTCCCTCTGCTTTGCTAAAAACGGTTACATTCCTGAAGCTGGACACCAAGGTCTGCTCCCTTACATGGCCACTCCCTCCTGCTGAGGCTGACCACCAAGGTCCAGCTATCAAAGTATTGAAATACAGCCATCAAAAGCCCCCCTTGGCTCACCTAATTAACATGCCCAATTAAAATTAAACATCTCGTCCTAACATGGGGTTTCCCCTTGTACCTTTATAATCTGCCATTTTCCTGTGTGCCACGCCTGTTTCCTCTTATCCAGAGGCAGTCCTTTGTCCCCCTCTGGGACGAATACCCCTACCCCCTCTCCCTGGTTCCCTTCCCCTTCTCCCTCATCCTCTGTCTCCTGTCTTTGTCCCTTATTCCCTACCCTCTGTCCCTCTGGAGCAAATAAATCTCCTTTGTGCTGAGAACTTACTTGGTCTTGGGGTGTCTTGCATCGACTTCGAGGTTCCCTCCCGTTAGCCTCTGGGCAAGCCGGTGAAGCATTGCCTAGATTAGGTTAACTGAAGTGGGACATACACTCCCTGTATACAGCACCGTTCTTTGGGTTGGGATCCTGAATGCGAAGGAGAAAACAAGTTGTACATTTGTTGCTGTTTCCCAAATGCAGATGCAATGTGACCGGCTGTCTTAGGCTCGCATTGCCAGACCCTTCTGGACACGATGGACTGTATCCTGGACTAGAATAAACCCCTTTCCTTCCTAAGATCGTTGGACAGGTGTTTTATCAAAGCAATGGGAAAAGTAGCTGAAACAGACCCAACTCGCTTTATGTGTTGTCCAACAGTGTGCATGGCTCACTCACCCCACGAAGCCCAGAACAAATGGCCTCTTTGTCCTGCATAGGCACCCAGTGGTCCTGAGGGCAGGTGGTCCTCAGTCCTTATGCCAGCTTTCTTTCCAGTTCCGACAGTTTCTACTCCTCATGGGCCATCTTCTTCCCAGGGCCTCGTCTCCTGAGCAGCCGTCCCCTGGGTGTGCTGTGGTTGGGACAGGCCATTTCTGCAGTGACTGTTTTTCCAACACATAAGAAAATATGTGTTGGTTGCAGGAAAATTAGAAATACATGGAAGGAAAAAATGTCCCCAATCCCACCCTCCAAACAGCTCCTTGGGGCCTCTTTCTCCAAACTGGTGCCAATGTGTTACCGTGAGAGGCCAGACCAAGATTAGCTGCAGTTGGCGGAGGCGGCCTCTCGCCATAGACACAGCAGATGTGGGGGTTTGTGTCTGAAGAGCCCTTGGGTGCGTGACAGGCCTGGGAAGACAGGCTAGGGACAGGAGAATGGACTCCCGAACCAGGAGAATCTCCTTCCCAAGTGGCCGTGCTAGAGACGAGGGGCATCTTCCAGGGCAGTGCCTCCTCCACTGTCTACCCACAACCACTCTCTGCTCTCATGCCCCACCCACTTCCTCCTCTTAGAACCTGGGGCTGGGAGCCGGGTCAAGGCAAAGCTGGGTTCCCAGGGCAGGACCCTTTGGAGCATGGAGGAGGGAAGGTTTCAGTCCTGATCCTCCAGAGGCCCCCACAAGATCTGGTCATTCTCCGAGCACTCCCTCCTCTCACACGTCAGGCACATGGAGTCTCTGGTTGAGGAGGAATGACCCTAGGCACCTAGCTTTTCTTCTCCACTGTCCTGGTTTTTTTTTCCCCCCATTTTCAGCTCTTTCCTTTTTGGATCTTACTTCTTACGACATAGCCCTGGCTTTGAACTCAGTGATTCTCTTGCCTCAGCTTCGGAGCGTTGGCTTGTACTGTCACGCTCGGCTTCCTGCATTGTTGTTATATGGGAGACAGAGTAACCAGGCTGGCCTCTAAATCACTGTGTGGATCTTACACTTTCTGATCCTCCAGCTTCTGCCTCTGGAGAGCTGCAATTACATGCCCCACCACGCCGGTTTTCATTTTTGGCTTTTTTCTTTGTGTGTTAGTGCGTGTATATATGTACACACTTGTGTATGTGTGTGGGGTGCAGGTGCACGTGCTGGAGGGCAGCATCAGCTGTCATCCTTGGAGTACTGGTTTTTTTTTTTTTTTTTTTTTTGTCTTCTGAGACAGGGTCCCTCTGGCCAGGAACTTGCCCAAGGATAGGCTGGCCACTGAACCGGATCCTTCCGCTTCTAAGTTTTGTGTGCACCACCACGTCCCAGCATTTTTTTTTAAGATTTGCTTATTATTTTACATTTTACTCCATTTATTTATTGTGTGTGCATGTGTAGATGTATGTCACAGGGCATGGAGGTCAAAGGACAACTTCAGGAAGTCAGTTCTTTATCATGTAGGTCCTGGGGATTGAACTCAGGTCGCTTGACAGCAAGTCTCTCTCTCTCTCTCTCTCTCCCTGTGTGTGTGTGTGTGTGTGTGTGTGTGTGTGTGTGTGTGTGTGTGTGTGAATGTCTGACGTTTGTTTGCAGGTGTCTATGGAGGTCAGAAGGTGGCCAATACCCTGGTTGGACTTATAGGTGGTTTAAACCACCTAACATGGGGCCCCTGGACGAGCAGGAATCATTCTTAACTGCTGATTCATCTTTCCAGCCCCCATAGCCCAGCTTTTTTTTTTGAGCGATTTGTTCTCACTATGTAGCTCTGACTGTCCTGGAACTCACTTTGTAGACCAGGCTGGCCTTGAGCTCACAGAGGTCTACCTGCCTCTGCCTCCAGAGTGCTGCTTGGCTATGGTTGTATATTTTATCTTATTCATTTTTCAAGTTTTGTTTTTATTATTATTGTGCACGTATGCATGATGTGTTGTTCTGTGGGTGTAACTGCCATGGTGAGCATCTAGGGCTTAGAGGTCAGTGTCATGGAGGCGGCTCTCTCCGTCCACCTTTTTGTGTGCTCTTGGAATCAAATTCAGATATCAGGCCTGCATCGTGGGGTCACAGGCCCTGTAACTTCTGAATCATCTCCATGGCCCTGGTCATATGGATTATATTCCCACCAACAAAGGGTAGCCTCCACCATGACACTCCCAGTTTAAGGTCAAGGTCATCCACCTCGGCTCCTAGTGCTCCCTTAGTGGATACCCCAGTGTGACCAGAAGGTCACAATAACTGGTTTGTCTGCAGCTGCCCTGTCAATCAACTGGACCCTCAGGCTGCTTCTCATGGGCAGACACCCAGCTGGCGTTCCTTGACCCCACACCTGTATAATCGCTTGGTGGGAACCTGAATGTCAACTTTCCTGTTGGTCCTCATTCAATCCCATCTCGTGGGTTTAGAGTTAACCCTCCAAGTGTCCTGACAGCCAGGAGAGCACATACCAGCCTCTGAGCGCTGACAGTCCCACTTCAGAACGACCCAGTTAAGGAGCTGACACCACTTCCATTTCAGAGAAGAGGAAACCGAAGCGCAGAGAGGTTAAGTAACTTGCCCAAGTTAACCAGGAAGTGGCAGAGTTAGGATCAGAGTCTAGGAGGTTTGGGGTCAGGAAGAGAGCTATTAGAAAAGTGCTTGTTTGATGCCCAGAGCCAACATAAAAGAAGACAAGCATGATGCTGAGTGCCTCTGACCCCGGTTTGCAGTCCCAGCATTGGGGGTTAGTATAGGGGCATCACTGGCAGCCAGCCTAGCCTAACCTACATGCAGAGTTTCAGGCCAGTGAGACACCTTGTCTCAAACAAAAAAAGGTGGAAAGCCCTTGAGGACACTGGAGGCCGTCCTCTGACCTCCACATGGACCTGCATACATGTGCGTATACACCCGCGCACACATGAAGAACCTAGGGAGTTTGGCCCAGTCACTTTGGTCTTAACCCTCGGTCTTTTGTCTTGATTGGGTGTCTGATACCACGGTTCACTTACCAGTCTGGAAACACACAGAGACAAATCTTCATGCCTTTGTTGATGTTGCTAATCCAGGTGTAGCGGCTCATGCATGTAGCCCAGCAATTAGGGCACTCAGCCTAAACCTGGAGGTTAGCCTGGGGTACATGGCAAGACCCTGCCTCAAAGACATGACGGAACAAAACAACATACACACACAAGACGCCTGAGCTTGGTGGCATGTTTCTAAAGCCCTGTTCTATCTTTGTCACAGGTCACCCGAGAGCTGCAAGGCCCTGGCCGGCGGGTGTGGGGGCGGGGGGCAATTGTGGGTTATGTCTGTGGTCTCAGCACAGTATTCACCAGCAGTTATATAAAGATCCCCATGAAGAGTCAGAGTTGTTACCCATGGAGGGATCCCTAAAACCAAAGGGAATAGAAGGTGGGGCTAAGATGCCTGAGTCCACTGAGTCTTCATAGCCTCTAGGCCTTGGTCCAGTTTTCAGCATGGAGTAAGATAGTAAATATTTGTTAGCTGCTATTATTATTATTATTATTATTATTATTTATTTTTTTTTGGTTTTTCGAGACAGGGTTTCTCTGTGTAGCTTTTGCGCCTCTCCTGGAACTCACTTGGTAGCCCAGGCTGGCCTGGAACTCACAGAGATCCGCCTGGCTCTGCCTCCCGAGTGCTGGGATTAAAGGCGTGAGCCACCACCGCCCGGCCTATTATTATTATTATTATTATTATTATTATTATTATTATTATTATCACTATTATTATTATTATTATCATTATTTTGTTTGTTTTTTGAGACAGGGTTTCTCTCTGTGGCCCTGTGGCCCCGGCTGTCCTGGAACTCACTCTGTAGACCAGGCTGACCTTGAACTCTGAGATTCACCTGCCTCTGCCTTCCAAGTGCTGAGATTAAAGGCGTGCCCATCCGGCATTAACTATTATTTTTAAAAAGAGTATTTGATTTTATTTAATTTTTATTGTGACTATATGTGTATATCTGTTGTGGACATATGTACACATACAAACGCACGAAATAGTACGTATCTAAATATCATGAGAATGGGAGTTCAGATCCCTAGCATCGTGTAAAAAGCTGGGCATAGTGACACATGCCCATATCCCAGTCCTGGGGAGGCAGAGGAGGACCCCTGGGGTTTGCCGGCGAGCCAGACTAGCTGAACTGGCAAACTCCAGGTCCAGTGAGAGGCTCTCTCTCTCTCTCTCTCTCTCTCTCTCTCTCTCTCTCTCTCTCTCTCTCTCTCTCTCTCACACACACACACACACACACACAAACACACCCAAAGGAGGAATGATATTAAAGCACACACACACACACACACACACATTCAAGATTGTTTTTGGCTATATATGGTGAGTTTGAGGTCAGTCTTGGATGCATGAGACCCTGAGACCCCTTCTCAAAGAAAATAAAACCCTCAGTACCATGAGATACATTCATAATATGGTGTAACTATCATTAATATATACTTCCAGAACTTTTATTTTTTGTTTTGTTTTTAGAGACAGGGTTTCTCTGTGTAGCCTTGGCTATCCTAGAACTTCCTCTGTAGCCCAGGCTGGCCTGGAACTCTGCCTCCCAAGTGCTGGGATTAAAGGCGTGTGCCACCACCGCCCAGCTGCTTTTTCTTCAGCTCTTTGGTCCTCACTCTGGCCCCTGCTGGCACTGACCCTGCTTGCGGTCTCAATGACTCTGTGTACTGCAGATGCTAGGTCTGTGAACAGGATCATACAGGTTTATCCCCGGGCTTACTTCGTTCTGAACATGATGCATTAGAAGTCCGCCCCTGTACAGCAGGTGGCAGATTTCTTCCTTTGCTCATCCTCCTTCACACACATATACATATGCATATATACATCTCTTTATGTAAGTATGTATGTATGTATGTATGTATGTATGTATGTATGTATGTATCTATTTTGAGACAGGGTCTCATTATATAGCTCGGGCTGCTCCGGAACTCTGTAGACCAGGCTGGCCTCAAACTCAAAGGGATCCACTTGCTTCTGCCTACTGGGTGCTGTGATTAAAGGCGTGTGTCATTCAATGGCTCTGCAGTTCTTTCTTGAGAACTGTAGATGGTCTCTGTCATGCCTCTGTTGGGGGGTGTTCCTGTCGCTCCCCCTCATGGCTGTGGTTGGCGGGGTTTCCCCTTCTTGGCTGTTATGGGTGGGGTGGCCATGGGGCTTACTAATTAGGAATTCATAACTAACGCTTTTCTTGCCAGGCTCTCCTCACCCTTCCCCTTCTTTTTGTGGGTAGGACCCTGTGCTGGTTTGAAAGAAAATGACCCCCCAAAGGGAGTGGCACTATTAGGAGGTGTGGCCTCGTTGGAGTAGGTGTGGCCTTGTTGGAGGAAGTGTGTCACTGTGGGGGCGGGCTTTGAGGTCTCTTTCTCAAGCCTCCCTCAGTGTGACAGTCAGTGGACTTCCTGTTGCCTGTAAGATGCAGCACTCTCAGCTCCAGCCCACATCTGCCTGTACGCGGCCATGCTCCCCTTCATGATCATCATGGACTGACCCTCTGAAACTGTCAGCGAGCCCTCCCCCCCAATTAAATGTTTTCCTTGTGAGAGCTGCTGTGGTCATGGTGTCGCTTCACAGCAATAAAAACCCAAACTAAGACACCCCACCCCCGCTTCTCTCGTCCTCCCCGGGACACGCCTTCTCAGAGCCCATTCTCACTTCTCCCTTTCCCCTTCTCCCGCTTCTACCGTTCCGGGTCCGCTGACCCCTCCTCCTTCGTTGGAGGTCTTATTCTCCCATCCCGAGTGTGTATTTGTAGCTGACTCTTTGGGGGAGGAGATCGTTAATTAATTAAATTTAATTAAGATAGAATTTACACTATTTCCCCCCTTCCCTTTTCTTTTTTTTTTTCTTTTTTTTTTTTTTGGTTTTTCAAGACAGGGTTTCTCTGTGTAGCTTTGCGCCTTTTCCTGGAACTCACTTGGTAGCCCAGGCTGGCCTCGAACTCAGAGAGATCCGCCTGGCTCTGCCTCCCTAGTGCTGGGATTAAAGGCGTGCGCCACCACCGCCCGGCTCCCCCTTCCCTTTTCTACTAAGGAATGCTGAGAACAGGAGAAACGGCCTTTCCCAAGGCTGAGTCCCTAGTTGGTGATCCGATACCGAGTGGTCAGCCCCGAAACCGTGTACATACAATCAAGACGAGAAACACTGAGCAGGCTGTACTCACATCCTTAGGCATTTGTACATATGTGCAATAACAACAAAGAGAAACAGGCCACGGTCTCTAGAGGGAGGGTGTACATGGGAGAGACCGGAGGGACGGAGGAGAGGGAGGAAGAAGATGGAGTCGGCTTAACTGCTTTTGTCCTTCCTAGCTGGTCCCCGCTGTCCTTCTGACTGACCTCCAATCCCGGTCTCGGCACAACCATAGGACTCCTTCAAACACAGTCTTTCGTAGTGCCTCATGTCACTAAACGCCAAAGGCCCCACATCATTTACCTGTCACCCTGCCCCACTTCTCAAACCCTGCATCCTTCATTGCTGGTCTGTGACATGTCCGTGCCCACCCTGTGCCCACCCATGCCCACCCCATGCCTACCCCATGCCCATCCCAGGCTTTTGCACTGGTTTTACTTCTTCCCTGAATCTCTCCTAGGCCAGATAGCTGTGTGACAAAGTTCTTTATCACTTTTGTTTTTAATGTTAAGAGGCAGTTTTAAAGTACCCCAATAACATTTTTTTCTTTGAGACAAGTTTTCTCTGTGTAACCCTGGCTATCTTGAAACTCCTTCTGTAGACCAGGCTGGCCTCAAACTCATAGAGATCCTCCTGCCTCTGTCTCCCAAGCGCTGGAACTAAAAGCGTGCACCACCACTGCCAGGCCCCAATAACATTCTGTTTAAAGTGGTAGCCCCAGCTTCTCCCCTAGTGACACCATGCAGTTAAGTGACCCCGCAGACCCCCCTTCTTGCATGCTTTAGCTGGGCGCTGGCACCTGATCTGGGGGGCTCCCAGTCTGATCCCACTTCACACGCTGTCTCGGGCAGAACATAGCTCAGCTTGGCTTGCACTTATTCGATAACAGAGTTCTCCAGTCTGCAAGGTTTCCACTTTGGCCTCCAGCCTGAGAGCTCCCCAGGGCACACCTAGGGAAGGTGTGTGCCTATGCCTGCCTCCCTTGGGTTCTGGTGACGGAGTGCCCACCAGGCCTTAGTCCCTCTCACTTGGCTCAACTCCAAGAGTCACCCACCACTTACCTGGTGGGCTATCCCCCTCCCCTATCCTTCCACTGAGCCATACTCCAGGCTTCCTGGTTTCCTTTCTGCCTCGTTACCACTGTTGACAATATTATAAGCATCCATAGCTTATCATGTCTATTGTTCTTCCTCTCTATTTCCTACTGGGAGAAAGGCAAGAAGTGACTGACTATTTTAATTAGTTAATTAATCAACACATCTAATTAATTAATTAATTAGTAGCTTATTTATTTATTTGCTTGTTTATTCATTTTTTGAGACATGCTGTAACTTGGTAAGCCTGGCTGATGTAGAACTCGCTATGCAGACCAGGCTGGGCTCAAACCCACAGAGACCTGCCTGTCTCTGCCTCCCGAGTGCCTATCATGGATTGGATATGTTCATTAAAGGCAGGTGTCACCAAGGTTAGACCTACAGGGAGTTTCTTCGTATCCACCACCATCCCCTTTCTTCCTTCAGGATCTCAAGTAGCGCAGGCTGGTCTCTAACTGGCTGGGGATGACATACCTTCTGAGCCGTTTGCTTCCACCCCCAGGGTGCCAGGTTGTAGGCGAGAGCCACCATGCTTGGTCTTACGCAGTGCTGGAGTTCTGGACCCAACTCTACTACAACTGAGCTATTAATACATCCCTAGCCTCAAGAAGAGTGAAGATTTATGTCTATTTTGTCTCCTGATATGAGGCATCTACAATTGGGATCAATATATATTTATCAAACAGATGAGGGAGTGGAGAATATACAATATTTGGAATTCTTCAATCTAAAAATGAGTTAAGCCCAATGTCTAATATGGCAGTTTGATGGCTGTGGTAGTTTGAATGTAATTGACTCTCATAATCTCATAGGGAATGGCACTATTAGGAGATGTGGCTTTGCTGGAGTGGGTGTGGTCTTGTTAGAGGAAGTGTGTCACTGTGGGGGTGGTCTTAGAGGTTTCCTATGCCCAGGATACTGCCCAGCGTCTCAGTCAGCTTCCTGTTGCCTGCAGGATGTATGACTCAGCTACTTCTCCAGCACCACCTCTGCCTGCACACCACCATGCTCCCTGAACCTTTAATGGACTGAACCTTTGAAACTGTAAGTGAGCCACCCAATTAAATGTTTTCATTTGTAAGAGTTGCTATGGTCCTGGTGTCTCTTCATGGTAATAAAAACCCTAACTAATGCTGAGCGGTGGTGGTGCACGTCTTTGACCCCAGCACTTGGGAGGCAGAGGCAGGCAGATCTCAGTAAGTTCAAGGCCAGCCTGGTCTACAAAGCGAGTTCCAGGACAGCCAGGACTGTTACACAGAGAAACCCTATTTGGAAAACAAAACAAAACAAACAAACAAACAAAAACAAACAAAAAACAACCACCCAAACAAACCTTGTCTAAGACAATGGCCACTTGAATTGTATGCGAGACAGTAGTCAATTCTCCTCTCTTGGGGCCTCTTGGCATTTGTCCCCAGATTTCCCTGGAGACATGGTCTCTCCCACCATCAGCACCTGTGAATGTCCTGGGACATTACTCTAGCTAGGTCCCTCCTCCTCATAGCTCAGGCCTCAGTGATTGGTTCAGCCCTGGGCATGGTTCACTTTGCCTGTGACATGGAATTCGGCTATGTCTGCTCAGGAGCGGTAAGGTGTTCTTAGCATTGCCTCAGCCACCAGGACCCCGCTGGGGGAGCCTGCCTTGTGAGGAAGCAATGCCCGAGTCCTGGGCTGCGTCGGGGGAGGGCCTGCAGGGGAAGGATTGCATATCTCCAGGTGAGAGAGGCTAGCACATGGTGACTCCTTCACCAGAGCCCAAGGGAGGTGGGCAAGGATGTAGACCTTCCCTCGCTGTGCCCTAGGGAACTTCTCAGGCCAACAGGGTAGGCTTTGGGGTGGGGAGGGACTGGGGCCTCATCTACTATTATAGCTGCAAGCATTATGCCCAAGCTGGCGTGGTAAGTGGGCTCAGATTGTGAGCTCCCCAACCCCAGCTCAGGTGCTAGCACCCAGGAAGAGAGCCCTGTGCAAGTCACTTAACTGTCAGCCATACGGTTGAGGCGGTGGCTCTGTGGGTTAGCATGTGTCACGAGATGCGTCCAATACCCAGCACTCCCAAAAGAAAACAAAATGAAATAGAACTGTCAGCAAGCAACAGTGTCCTCAAAGGTGGGGTGGCGTGAATAATGTTCCCCTCATTCAGAGAAAGTGGAATAGGCTGACCAGTTTGGATGACTTGTCAGGAGTGCTAGACCATGGTGGCACATGCCTGTAATCTCAGCACTTAGGAGACTTTAAGGACAGTGTCGGGTCCATAGCTAGTTGGAGGCTAGCCTGGGTTCAGTGGAAGACTACTACTTCATCTTCTCATCTCTCAAAAGAACTTGGCAGGAGCCCTGTACAAGGGCAAAATAAAAGTTAGCATTTGTTATCTTATGTGCTCTCTAGGGTCGGGTTTCTACCAGGCGGGGCAGTTGCAGTTTCTGTGTCCACCAGCAGGTGGCGGCCCAACCCCAAAAGATCGACTCCGTTTTCCTGGGCGCAGGGAGGACGGATCCGGGTGGTGACACTTACACTTTTCCTTGGTGCATCAGGACTTGGGGCGAAGTGCCTGCATCTCCCTCAGTGCTTGGTGGTCGTTGGCCGACAGAAAAGGCGGCCCTGGTCACCAGAAGATAAGAGCATCTCTGTTTCCATCCATATTGTGAAAGGGCATGGTCTTTGGAGATAGCCCGGACGAAGTTGAGAAAATACTCAGGCTGGACTAGATAAAGGACTTGTCGAAGGAGCGAGAATCGGGACGCGGATGCTGGTGATAGACGGCTGTGGCTGGACGTCCGTTGCAGCTAAGGCCGAGTGATGACTCTAAGGATGGGTATCTGCTTGCTCGCTTAGTCCAAGAATGCCCGGCTGCCCTTCCGGGAGGACCAGGTGCCTGCCTGGTGACGTGGTGCGCTGTAATTCAAGGTGCTACCAGCAGAGGGCGGCAGAGAGCCACGCTCTCCGGGCCCGCTCCCTCCAGCGCCAGCTAGCTCTCTGCGAACCTGCTGTCTGGAAGGCTGGGCAAGATCTGACTTGTCAGGTGTCCCTTGGCTTTTGAGAAAGCTTGTCCTACTCGATTCTTGAGGGCTGAGAGCGCTGAGGGAGAAGGGAGGTTCAGCCTCAAGCTAGAAGTTGCCTGGCTTAGTCGATCCCCTTTCCCTGAACTCAGGAATGAGTGGCACTGGCCACTCTAGTCCCGGCAGCTCTGGGACCAAGTAGGGCAGATGGGGTGCTCTTTGAACCCCTGATTACTCAGGCCTGGATGGCCCCCAGGAAGCAGGGGGTTCCCACCCCATCTCACCATCGCCAGTTCCCGTACTCTCCTGGGCAGGCTCCCAGAGGCCCACAAAGGCTCTCAGATGGAGTTCTGGGCCATGCACCGCTGTGCCCTGGGACCGCGGCCTGCTGGCTCTAGGCACTGCTGGTCCCTGGCCCTCCCCTGTAGGGCTTTGTCCACTGTCCTGGCTCTGGGCTGGCAGCAGCTGCTTGCTAGGGGAGGGGAGGGGGCAAACCTGGACCCTCTTGAACCTTCCTTCCTGGCTGCCCCATTTGCTGCCCCACCTCTCAGTGCTGGTCCTTCCTGACAGGGCCTGTCCAGTGGGAAGGGTCTTTCCTCGTCCCCACACAGGTTTTAGGGTAGTGTTCTCATTTCCAGATGACACGGAGGTTCCAGGGATTCAGCCCAGCCTCTGTATCTCCCTGCCCAGACCCCTGACATGTGGCTTCCCTCCTCTGGCCCTGTGGAGTCCTTGGCCCACGCAGGGACTGGTCCCTGGCCTCACATTTATTCTTTGGTTCAGTACTGTTTCTTTCCTATTGTATGCTTCCTTGGCTCGTGGGGGATCTGGGGACTCAGGAAAGAGAGAAGGGACCTAACCCCAAGGAGCAGCTGTCCAAGCAATATGGAGGCGCAAGTTGTGACTGGGAAGCCGTCGGAGCCTGGAGGGGTGTCTCCCAGGTCTGGGGAAATCTCCCAAGACAGGTCTTCCCTGCAGCTGCTGAAGTAGCTCCTACCCAAAGGTTAGCAATCATCACCCCCGTTTTGTGTTTTCACATGCTTGTTTTTGTTTCAAAACCACTTTTAGTATTTACAGCTTCTTTCTTTCTTTCTTTTTTCTTCTTTTTGTTTTTTTTTTGAGACAGGGTTTCTCTGTGTAGCTTTGGAGCCTGTCCTGGAACTCGCTCTGTAGACCAGGCTGGCCTCGAACTCACAGAGATCCACCTGCCTCTGCCTCCCAAGTGCTGGGATTAAAGGCGTGCTTTATCTGCTGATGTGTTCATCGTCTGAATGCCCCAGATGTACCTACCAGGTGCCAGTCCAGCTCCCAGGGACAGAGAAGTAAAAGAACTCAATTAAACCGTCATGGAGCCTATGGTCTAGGAGGTGGGGGCAGGAGAGGCAGAGGCCAGAATGAGTAAGTGAACGGAATGTGTGCATTCATGTTGTGGAGGGAAAGAAAGCGGGGGTGGGGGGTGGAGTGGGGTGGGAGGTGGTGGTGAGGGAGGGAAGTGGTGGGGGCATTGACAGCTGGAAGGAGAGCTGAGGGGGCTGGGCTGTGCAGATCTCTGGGGGAGGAGTGTTTTAGGAAGGGGACACATCACAGACAAGGGTCCTGAGGTCAAATGCGCCTGGTGCAAGAGAAGATGCCTAAGGATGCTGGTGTGGCTGAGGAGGCGAGGTCAGAGAGGAGCTGGGAGAGAAACAGTGGAGGACTCGGGAGGCCATGGGAAGATGGCGGGGTGATGGGACCGAGCCGTAGAGAGCTACTGCTTGAATTTGAGCAAGAGAGTGTGGGGTCTTTCCGTTCCATAGTCACCCCCGCCCCCATAGCTGCTGCGCTTGAATGCTAGGGGTGTGGGTGGAACCAGTTACGAGGCCACAGTGACAGTTGGGGAAGAGAGGGTGGCTGGGCTAGTATGGTGGCAGTGGGACTGACCACAGTGGCCAACCTGGGACCTAGGTGGGATGTCTCTGACTATCCGGGGATTGGAGAGGAAGACAAAGATGGCTTCCAGGGTTTGACCTGGGTGGGCAGGAGAGCAGGAAGAGGGCTGGGGACTCCCCTGGGCTGAGTTAAGGCAGGAACCTCAGCCGGTACTGGCATCTAGATCTGACCTGGGGGTCACGTGCCGTCACCCATTGATTTGAAGCTAGTCATTTCATCAGGGAGTAGAGTCCCAAGACAGAGGACAGTGTCAAACGCTGCAGAGAAATAAAGAAGTCTGCACGGTGGACATGGGCTTGGCATTGCCACACGGCCCGGGCTACAGTCAGCCTCCAGGACTGTCATATGTGACTCGGATGGGCCTGGCTGGGTAGGCATGCCTACTGCATCTACTTGGGGATGCAAGAAACGTTGACTTTCCCTGGCATCTGTAACCCGGTGAGAAGCGAGTGGGTGATTCCAGCTCCTTGGGGTGTCTGCAAGCTCAGGCGTCCTTGTGCAGCACCCAAGCTGCACATCTGTACTTGGGAGTTGTGCTGGTGAATGGTGGTTCTCTCATGAGTGGTGGTTCTCATGAGTGGTGGTTCTCATGAACGGTGGTTCTCATGAGTGGTGGTTCTCATGAGTGGTGGTTCTCATGAGCGGTGCTTCTCATGAACGGTGGTTCTCATGAGTGGTGGTTCTCATGAACGGTGGTTCTCATGAATGGTGGTTCTCATGAGTGGTGGTTCTCATGAACGGTGGTTCTCATGAACGGTGGTTCTCATGAGTGGTGGTTCTCATGAACGGTGGTTCTCATGAACGGTGGTTCTCATGAACGGTGGTTCTCATGAGTGGTGGTTCTCATGAGTGGTGGTTCTCATGAACGGTGGTTCTCATGAACGGTGGTTCTCATGAACGGTGGTTCTCATGAATGGTGGTTCTCATGAACGGTGGTTCTCATGAGTGGTGGTTCTCATGAACGGTGGTTCTCATGAACGGTGGTTCTCATGAACGGTGGTTCTCATGAACGGTGGTTCTCTCATGAACGGTGGTTCTCATGAGTGGTGGTTCTCATGAGTGGTGGTTCTCATGAGTGGTGGTTCTCATGAACGGTGGTTCTCATGAGTGGTGGTTCTCATGAACGGTGGTTCTCATGAACGGTGGTTCTCATGAGCGGTGGTTCTCATGAACGGTGGTTCTCATGAGTGGTGGTTCTCATGAACGGTGGTTCTCATGAACGGTGGTTCTCATGAATGGCGTCATGGGTTGTGAGGGCAGAAACTGGAGCTGTGCTAGAGTCTGTTAATATCAATGGCCATCTTGACAGGATCTAGACTCACCTAGGGGACAAATCTCTGGGTATGCTGGTGAGGGAGTTTCTAGACTGAGGTAACCAAGGTAGAAGACCCACCTTAACGTGGATAACACCATTCCATGGGCTGGGGTCCTGAACTGGAAAAAAAAGCGGGGGGGGGGGGGGAGCAGAGCACCAGCATTCACCTTTCCCCTTCCTGACTGCTTCAGTGCCGCCAACGGCCTCAGGCTCCCGCCAGCCAGCACGCCTTCCCCATCGACTGTGAGCCCAAAGCAGCCCTTCCCCTAAGCTGCTTTCCTCAGATATGTGGTCACAGGAAGGAGAATGTAACTAACGGAGAGTCAAGAGAGAGGGATTGGGGACAGCTGTCAGAGACGGCTTTCAAGGAGCTCCCATGCCCTGCGGAGAGGAACGAGGACAGTGGTGGAGCTGGGAGGCACTGGCTGGGGGAGGGTGGGTGACAGCACATGGCTCTCCCTCCCTGCCATTCTTCCCTGCTCTGTGGATAGGGATACTTGTGACAAGCCAGCCCTGATCTTACAGGTCTCAGGGCATGGGAGACAAAAAGTGAAGAGCCGCTTCCTCAGGCATGCTCGGCTGCTAGGCTAGGCGAGGACGCTAACCACTGAGCTACACTTCCAGGCCCAGCAAGTGGTCCTCACCAGCAGAGCCATGCCCACTGAACGCACACAGGTGCCTGGCTCCGTGTGGACAAGCACCCAGTTCATCAGCTCCTTTTGTCCCTGCCCAGCCCTTATCAGTCAAGTCTCTACCATCTGCATGGGGCAGATGGAGTGGGAGCCTAGAAAGGTGGTCCGGCCGTGACCTGGGAGGACGTGCAGGCCGTGACCTGGGTGGGCGTGCAGTAGGAATGCCTGGTGCCTCTACCTCCTCCCGAGCCCCAGGCGTGGCCACCCTCCTCAACGGCAGGGCAGTAGTGGGGTCAGGTTGTCTCTCCTCCCCCAAGAAGATCTGAGGTTCCTGCATGAGAGGGTGTCTGAGGGCTGGTGGGGGGTGAAAGCTTGTGTTCTAAGCCCTCTCTCAACTGCCCACTGGTTCCTTAGATCTCCTGAAACCCGGGGCAAATGAGGTCTGCTCTCGGAGCATTAGTGTTTTCATCTGTAAAATGGGTCGTAGGATCGTTTTGAGTCACATAGGACACAGGGAAAGCATTAGAAGAGACTGGGTTTGGTGACCAGAAGCTGGAAGCCGAAGAAGAGGGAGAGAGTGAAAAGTGGGCTCCCGTGGTAGCCCTGCGTCCCCTTCCCCGAGGACCGGGCCTTCTCACCCTTCCCTCCCCCAACTCCTAGGGTTTGGAGCCTCTTAGTGTCTCTCTGGGGGGTCAGATCTTGCTCTGTAGATTTACAGCCAAGAAGTCCTTAGTGTGGAGTGCAGGCACAGTCTGGTGGAACTCCTCCAGGAAGCTGCAGACCTGGGCTGGCCCCCCCCCCCCCCCCCCCCCCCCCCCCCCCGCGAGGTCATGACTAGCCGGAGGAGAGGCTAGGGCAGGTGCTTCTGTCCCCCAGAGCGCTGTCTCCCGTCGCCCCTTGCCTGCCCAGGGTGACCCCGTCTTTACTCCCACCCGCAGCAGGGCCTCTCTGTTGTCTCCTCTCTTCTGCCCAGTCCACTGTCCCCAACTCCCGAGTCTGTCCGCACCCCTGGGCGCCTGTCTCTCTCTGTGGCTCTCTCTACTTTGCTCCCTAAACACCAAGGTAAGCCCTCCCATGATGAAAATGGGGATTCTGGGGGGTGGGGGCAAGGCCCGTCCCTCCATCAGGGGCTGGGACAGATGGGACTGTGGTTAGGTCGGCCAGAGGTTCGAGGACAGAGGCTGGGCCGGCTTAGGAGGGGGGCGGGACCTCGTGGAACTCCCCTCCCCCACTTTCTTAAAGGGTCCAGAGCGGGGCCGGTGCGGGGCCAGGGGTGGCCGCGTCCTGTGGGTGGGCTCCCCGCGCAGGGTCGCCCGCGCTCGTGGCCAGGCACGGCGGGTGGGCCCTCCTGGTGGCCACCGTCCCCTCCCGGCGGCGCGCGCACTGGCAGCCCCTCCACCCCCCGCCCTTCCCGTCCTTCCCGCTCCTCCCTCCCTCCCTCCTTCGCTGCTCTGTTCCCTCCCTCCTGCAGTCCGTCCCCTCCTTCTCTGCCCAGCCTCTCCACGGCCGAGGCTCCAACACCTGAAGGGACAGAAGCGGACGGACGGACGGACGGACGGACGCGGGGAGCTCCAACAGGCGGCGGCGCGGGACCTCGGGTCCAGGGGTGGCTTCCGCATGGCCCCGCCGTGAGAGGGAACCCCGAGGCAGGGACCCGAGTGGTGAGTGGGGCCGCGGGCCAACTGTGTCCCCAAGGCCTGCATGCTCCGGGACCCCGCCCCTCTCCTTAGGAGGCCAGCTAGAAACTAGGAAGGGGTTTCGGGTGGTGAGAGGACCGCAGGCTGGGTGGCGGGAGCCGCCCTCCGCCCTTTTTGCCCGCTAGGGTCTGCTAACAAAGCTACATTTCGAGATCAATTCTGTGGTGGCTGGAGCATCCAAAGGATGCGGTTGTCATGGAGATGGGGCAGGGAGAGGAAGCCCAAGATGGTCAGGACTGGGCCAGGGAGTGGGGGCGCCGCCAAGAGCCCCAGTCCCGCCTGCAGGGAGGATGGGGCTGCTGGCCCAATTGTCTCCCGGGCTCTGCCTCCCGGTCCCCTCCCCCTTTTGTATAATCGGTGTCAGCGTGTACGTTGGTGGGGTGCCAGTGTCAGTTTGGTGGTCTGTGGTTGGGGTGTTGTGTGCTAGGGCCTGCCACAGCTACCTCCATGACGGAACATCTTTGAGGATTTATTTCTCTTTCCAGTTTCCCAACTTTGACAGGCAGGCCTGGGGCCCAGGCCTCTCTGTCTCTGCAAGAGCAGGGGTTCGCTTGGGGGCGTGGCAGGCGGTAGGCAAGGCCAGGCCTCACAGAACGGCTGTGGCAGCATGGAGAGGAGGGGTCCTTGGAACCGGGTGCCGGGTCTGGGTGGGGCAGGGAATCCAGATGTGGGGACCACCCTATCCAGCTGGCTCTCTTCTAGACTCCTGTCCCTGGAGGATCTGGGATTCTCTGAAATAAGACCCGGAGCATTGTTTCTACACAAGACCTTGGGCCCACTGCCCACTGTCCACCCCTTTGTCTTAGGCCCACCTTGCCGGGCCCAGAAAGAGATCTGGGGGCAGATGCAACAGTTATAATGCAAAAGGGCACAAGACTCCTTCAGGCAGCTCAGGACAAGCCTGGCTGAGCTGGCTGAGACCAAGCAGCCTGCTCTGGCTTTGCTGGTATAGGAGAGTGGGCCTGGGATACCATTAGGATTTTCCTAGTCCCCTCCAGACCCCGAGACAAGAGCTGCCTCATGAATACTACTCAGTTAGCTTGAGGGACACAGACAAGGAGCGTAAGGACCACCTCCAGGTCCCCGTCCCCCACCCCCACCCCGACAGATGCCTTCCTCCCAAGGAAGCTACAAGTTCCATGGCCTGGGATCTATGAATCAAGACAATGGGCCAGCCACTTTTCTTGTCCACCCAGGGGTCTGGAAGAGAGAATTGTTCCTCCAGAGCCCTTTCTCCTGATGCCTGGTGCTAGGCAGTGGGTTTTGTGTGGGGCTTCTACAGTGTTTGATCTTGGTGGAGAGTGCAGGTCTGCAGGCATGACCAGAGCCCTGGGGGCGGGGGTTTCCCACACTCTGGGGTGAGTAGGGAGGTGTGGCCTGTTAAAGGTAGAGGGATGACAGGTGTCCTTGGAAGGCCTCTTCACTGGATGCCTTCTATAGGGTTGAGGTCTCAATGCTCACGTGCTTTGTCCCTGGAGCTCTGAAGTGCCTTGTGCCATACTAAGAGGTCTCCTTCCTGCAGGCTTACCCTGTCTGCTCATTACTGGGGAGGGGACACACGTCCCAAGCAGGTCTAGGGTCATTGCTCAAGGGAGAGAGAAAAGCTAGCTGCTTCCTGCCCTCCACGAGGCTGAGAGACAGCGCCTGGGAATGCCACACTGCCCTGCCTCCATTGATGGGTCAAAGCTACTGTGTGTAGGGTACCCCAACACCTGTGAGTTTTGGGGGAGACACCACTGTTGCCCCCATTCAGATCGAGAGGCCTCTGGGCCCAGGGAGCAGTTGTCTGCTCCAAGTGTCTTGTGAAGGTAGGACTTACATCCGGGTATGACTTTCTCAGGCTCAGACCTGTGTCCCCAGCTGTATGTCCCCAGCCACCTCCTCTTCTGCCCTGTAACTATAGCTTAGGACAGAGGTGGGCCCGGGCACCTCCCCATCTGCACAGGAGTCACCTTGGGGGATCTGGAAGCACTACACTAGGGTCTCCTAGGGAGGTGAGGTGGAGGCATTTTTCTTCTGGGCAGCCTGCAGACTGAAGCTACCTCTCTCTGCAGACGATGCTCTAGACCTCCTCTGCCAGATGGTCTTTTCCAGGAAAATCTGTTTTGAGAAGCATCTTGTGTCTGGGGTTCCATATTTAGCCTGGCTCCTTTTACGGGAGGATATACTCAGACTGTCACCCCTCAAGGGATGTTTGGGGGTGGGGTGAGTCCAGGGCTACACCTGGCTCCTCGCCACAGCTTCGCCAAGATGGGGAGGTCCTGGCCTGGCTGTGGTATGTCCTGCTGGTCTCTCAGGGATCTGGTCATGTTCTGAGAGTCCTGTTCTTCACTGAGCTTGGATCACAGTAGAGTAGGGATCATTGTGGGTGGCGAGTCCTCCTGAGTTGTGCCCGCACGTTTGGGTGCCTGGTATTCAGGTCAAGGCAAGCCCATGGCCCAGCTTGCTTCAAGGCTGTGGCTTGCTGCAGGCAGCAGCTCCCTTCCTTGCCTCCTGCTCAGCCCAGTGTGCAGCAATGCTCAATGGGGCCTCTTCCCAAACCGCTTCCACTCTCCTGCCTCACTGCATCTTGTCACACTCCGCATACACCTGCACCCCTTTCCCCCAGAGGCCAACATCTGGCCATGCGTCTTCCTCCCTTCTCTCCCTCTTTTGAAAGTTGAAGGCTTTATAAACACACTTCCTCAAACTACCTCAACATAAATTCCCCGAATCAAGGATATTTTTTCTCTTACAGAACAGTTATACTATTATCCTAACTGAAAAATCTAGTAATGATTCAGCCTGCCCTTGTATTTAGCCTCGATTCAAGTTTCTCTAGTGACTCTAGTAACATTTTTTTGTAAGTATCTGTTATGGATCTTTGTTTGTTTCTTTGGTTTGGTTTTTGAGACAGGGTCTCTCTTTATATAGCTCTGGCTGTCCTGGATCTTGCTACGTAGAGCAGGCTGGCTTCAAACTCACAGAGATCCACCTGCCTCTGCCTCCTGAGTGCTAGGATTAGAGGTGTGCGCCACCACACCTGGCTATAAATCTTTTTTTTTTTTTTTTTTGGCCAAGGAGCATACACTATATTTAGTTATTATACACTATATTTAGTTATGTTTTTGTTCTGGATTTATCTCACTTTTTTCCCCTTCCATTTTTGAAACGGGGGTCTTACGCAGCCCAGGCTGGCCTCAAACTCATTGTGTAGCACTGAGGATGACCTTGAACTCCTGATCCGTTGATTTCACATTCTTTTCTTCTTTCCTTCCTTCCTTTCTTTTCTTTTCTTTCCTTTCTTTTTTTTTTTTTTTGAGACAGGGTTTCTCTGGTTAACTCTGACTGTCCTGGAAATCTCTCTGTAGACCAGGTTGGCCTCAAACTCAGAGAGATCTGCCTGCCTCTGCCTCCCAAGCGCTGAAATTAAAGGCGAGTGCCACCACTGCCTGTCGATTCCACATTCTAAATGCTGGGATTTCAGGCATGCTCCACCATGTTCAGCTAATCATCCGACTTAAACAGTTTTTTTTCTTATGTTGTTTTTATGACCTTCACAGTTTTGGAGTTGTGTGGAATCTCCCATGTTCTGGCTTGTCTTCTTGCTTGCTCCTGATCAGATTCATGTTAAACATCTGTGGACACAGCTCATAAGTGATGTTCTATCCTCAGGGTCCCATCAGAGGGCACACCTTACAATAGATAGTGTTATGTGAGGCCACTTGGCTGAGGGTCCATTTGCTTCGATTCTTTACTTTAGCCTACAACCAGAACTTCATCGACCTGGGCACCCTGGCAGCAGGGGTGTGCAGCTTCGAACCATCGAAAGAGATCAAACCGATTCAGACCCAGATTGCTCTCAGGTTTAATACCACTGGGTGGAGGCAGGTGCTGCTCATGAGGAGAGAAGGGAGGCCTGAGAAGGGTGTGGGGGGAGTGGCAAGAAAATGGGCACAAGGTGGAAAGAGAGACCCAGGACTCAGCCTGTGGAGGATGAGGGCTGAAGTTGGCTCTTCCCCCAGGGTATTGGGAGCCCCTGAAGGATTTTACAGAGGTGAGTAATGGGGTCATTTTGTGCGCTGGAAGTTTCTCAGAAGAGGAATAGGATTGGTTGGGTAGCACGTTGGATGAAAGCTCATTTAGGAGGCTGTGATGTGACCCGGCACAAGCTGCTTAGAAACCGTGTGGTGCTTCTGGTGCAGCCCTTCTCGTGGGCTGTGTGGCTGGTTGGCCTACTGGGACAGCGGTCTGGGGAAAGGGATGTAAGAAGAGCCCAGAGGCAGATGGACAGCGTCCGCATCAGGCTGGAAGCAGAGGGTGACCAGGGAGCTGTGGCTTGGGAAGGGGGACGGTGTTTGGTTTGGGTGTATGGAGGGCCGTGGGTGGAAGGCACCACTTCTCAAGTTCTGAAGCTTCTTTTGTGGTGGGGGCAAAGGGAGGCCACGCACAACCTGCAGCAGGGGCGGATGGTGGATCCAGGCACTAGCCGGGGTCCGTGAGTAGGTGAGGGGCCAGCGTATAGGCAGCTGCCCTGCCGGAGTCAGCAGACTCTCCCTCCCAGAATGCAGTTCCTCACCTCATGCCACAAGACTCCATTAAAGCTCTCCCTAGTGAAACCCAGTGCTCGGTTCCCTCCAGCCTGAGGAAAACCACAACCTGCCCCCGCAGCTCTCACAGTAGGTCCAGCTCACAAATTCAGATGGGTCTGCCGCTGTCCATCACTCAGGTCATGGCCCAGAGCCCACTGCCTCCTCTTCTGCTCAACACTTCCTTGTTGCTCCTCATCCAGAGTCTCAGACTGCTGCTTACTGACTTGCTCCCCATGGCTTGTTCAGCCTGCTTTCTTATAGAACCCAGGACTACCAGCCCAGGGACGGCACCCCTCACCATGGGCTGGGCCCTCCCCCATCGATCACCAATTAAGAAAATACCCTATAGCTGGATCTTAGGGAGGCATTTTCTCAGTTGAGTTCCTCTTCAGA